GATATTCACCAGTTCGACTGTGGATCTATTCTAAGAAGGATTCTGCCACGACAAGACGGGACTCTGACCATGGAAATTAAAGGTTTCTGCTGCCAAGACCAACTCAGCATCTAGGGACGAGTAGAACTGCATCCCAAAGCCTCTTTTAGATCAGTGACACAGTGTAGGGATTGGAAGGAGGTGTAATTTCAAAATTTCTTAAAATATGTTAACTTCTTGATTTTTAATTTAAGAAGCTGTATGTCATTTTTCCCTGCTAAAGCTTGCTAATAAAACATTGAAGTCTAATTGATGCTGTGGACAGTTAAATTAAGTCAACTGAAAATCGATTCTTCTGGTTAAATTAAAATCAATGTTCATGATTCTAGGAAACTAGGGGGCTTCAGACGTTTCTTTGGTTATGATAAATAATGACCCTGGGACTCGTGCCGAGTCTCTAAAATTATCTAGACTGTAACAAGTGCACGTTATTAATAGAGAAAGAGCTACCGTTAACAGGAGTGGTTTTTGAAGTCAGGCTTTTGCGGGCTACTCAAATGACTGTTTCATTAACTGTAAAGGGTCATAGCTTCTGGATCTGAAGGTAGTTAGAGTCTAGATGCATCTTTCTTGCGCCCAGCTTAAACAGAATGTCCTTTAAATTCTCATCTGGAGTAATACTCAGGAGTTGGAGGCTTCTCGGACCCGTTAGGTGGAGAGCTGAACAATAGTCAGTCTGCAGGAGTCTGAGAGGAGGTTATGGGTGTGGCTGACTATTGCATAATAACAGATGCAGCAGCTGTTTATTTCAGTAAAACATTAATTTAACCACTGGCTTGTTTAATATTCTCAGTTGTATCAGAATCCCTGGCTGCTGCCTTTTGGCTGGGACGGAGACCTGGACGACAGGACCCTGAGGTGGACGGCATGGAAGGAGGAACATAATGGAGGCCGGATCTTCTTGAAGGTCAGCTACAAATTTTTAACAATACGTTTATATCTGCAACTTACTCTTTCCTTTGGGTGTCTTTTTTTTTTATCATAAATATGCTATATCTGTTACATTTGTAGATTTTTGACGTTCCACACTCAGTATTTCAGTGGCTACTGACAGACACTCGCTACGAACAAGGTAAAAACTCTTTTCCTTAATTTTGAACAAGCTTGTTTGTTGAGCATCACAAACATTATTTCTGTATTTTTCTCTGGTGAAATAACCCAAAATTTAGAAATCTCTGTTCTTCTTGTGACTACAGTGTTTCACAGCCTTCAAGTGCGGTATCGTGGTTTTATGCATAGAGGTTTGTAGAGTATAATGATAAAGAATCCAAAGTAAATTGAAATCACCTATTGCTCTAATCTGACGTACACATTTTTGTAAAATGCCCTTTCAGTTCCACAGAGGAAGACATTCTGCAAACATAAATGGAAGGAACAGTTTCCTCTGCTAGGTGAGTAGCCTGTTTGGCAGTCAAAGAGCGAACAAACGGATCCACGGTGTCCCCCTTTTCTTATTTTATCCACC